ATAAGACACTGTTTAAAAATCCAATTAGTTAAGTTAATTTATTATTGAAATGAAGGCGCATCAAATGGAAATTGACAGCAGTTTAGGTGCCATGGCTCAATACTATAGGATCCTCAGATTAGTATGGTGATGGGCAGAGTAGGCCAAAGGCCTTGTCAAACTACAACTCCCATAATCCCATAGCATTGAACCATGGTACTTATAACGGTGTCAAACTGTGTCAGTTCTACAGTATAGATCGGGCCTGGGCAAACTTTCTAACTTGGGGGCTGAATGGAGGAAGGAAGGAAGGACGAAAGGGGGGAAGAGAAGGATGGAAGAATGAGAGAGCAAGGGAAGGAGGAAAGAGGGAAGGAAGGAAGGATGAAAGGGAGGAAGGGAAGGGAGGGGGAGGGAGAAAGGAAAGAAGGAAGGAAGGATGAAAGGGAGGAAGGGAAGAAAGGACAAAATGAGAGGAAGAAAAGGGAGGGAGGGACGGTGGGAAGGATAAAGGAAAGAGAGAAGGAAGGAAAGACAAAAGGGAAGGAAGYAGAAAGTGATAGGGAGGGAGGAAAGAGGGAAGGAAGGAAGGGAGGGAGGGAGGGAAGGAAGGAGAAAGAGCGAGGGAAGGGAGGTAAGCAGGAAGGAAAATAAAAGGAAGGAAAGACAAAAGGGTGGAAGGGAATGGATGGAGGGAGAGCGGGAGGGAAAGGAGGGAGGAAAGAGAGAAGGAAAGACAAAGGGGAACGAAGGAAGGGAGGGTGGAAAAAGAGAGAGGGAAGGTAGGAAGGAGAAAGGGTGAAAGGGAAGGGAGGGAGAAAGAGGGAGGTAAGGAAGGGTGGGTGGGAGGGAGGAAGGATGAAAGGGTGGAAGGGAAGGAGAAAGAGCAAGGGAAGGAGGAAGGAAAGAGAGAAGGAAGGAAGGATAGGCTGGTGACAGAGAGGAGGGCCTGAGAAAAGAGCCCAAGGGCTGCATCTGGCCACTGGGCCTGGCTTTGCCCATAGCTAGTATATATGCAGCCTGGGGCACCTTAAGCACAAACGTATTTTATGTTATTGTATGTATTATATGTTCATATGGTTTGACTTTGTACTAGCTTGCCTTGAGCCATTAGGAGAGGCAGGTAACAAATGATATGTATCATTATTACTGGTGTTGCTGTTGTTGTTGTTAAATGTTCTGTCCTCTTTCTCCGAACCGCATTTTATCCCCAAAGACTTTGTTGTGCAAATTCCAAAGGAAGGGTTGCATGTTTGTCTTTTAGCTGAATCTCAAGGCTCTGGAAAAGAAGGCGGAGAAAGGGAAGCAAGGCCAAGGAAGGAGCAAAAGGCAGTTGGAACAGTCTATTTAATCGCTCCAGAGCCTCCGGCAGAGTCACCTTTAAGTCACGGCTCAGGTGTTTATAGTTTATAGCTCTGCGCAGCTCTCCTGGTTAACCAACAACCTGGGGGCAGGTGAGGACTGCAGAGTCTGGAGGATTTGCTCACTTGGACGCCGCAGTCCTTTCCACCATCTAGCTGCATGTATTGGCTTTTCTGGACTAATTCACACATGTGCTTGGTTTCCCATCCTTGAAGGTGTGAATGAATTCCACTGGGAAAGTCTTTTATTTGGGTTCATTGCAGTTGGATGTGTTTGGATGCCCTCTTGTATCCCTAACTCATGTTCCCTGCAGTTGGCAAAGATCTCCTATTGCTCCAGAGCATTGTGGAATTGCAGCATTGGAAGGGACCCCAAGGGTCATCCAGTTCAATCCTGTTCTGCCAAGCAGGGAGGCACCATCCAGTCCCTCCTGACAGATGGCCATCTCAGCCTCTACTTTAAAACCTCAAGAGAAGAGACTCCACTGACGGACATATTCCATGGTTGAACAGCTCTTACCATCAGGATCTCCAGAGCAGCGGGGTGGGGGGTGGGGGGGACATACTTTCTAATATGTAAACATGGCTCTTATGTCGCCTTCTCCATCTTCTCTTCTCCAGGCGAAACATGCCCAGCTCTCTAAGATGCTCCTCATGGGGATTCATAGTTTGCAGACCGTTGCCCATTTTGGTCAATCTTTTCTGGACCCCTTCCATCTTGCCCATCTCCTTCTTTGTCCAGAATTGGACAAAGGGTTATTCCAGGTGAAAAGATCTGAATAGAGTGGGACTAGGACCTCCCTCTATCTCAGTGGTTCTCAACCTGTGGGCACCCAGGTGTTTTGGCCTACAACTTCCAGTAATCCCAGCCAGTTTACCAGCTGTTAGGATGCCTGAGAGTTGAAAGCCAAAATATCTGGGGATCCACAGGATGAGAACCATCTACACTTGTGCTTCTCAAGTTTTGGTTCTCCATATGATTGGGACTTTAACTCCCACAATTCCTAACATCTGCTAAGATGACTGGGATTTCTAGGAGTTGAAGTCCAAAATACCTGGAGGACCAAAGGTTGGGGACCACTGGTCTAGACACTATATTATTGATGCTGTTTGGAATCACATTAGGTTTTTTGGCTGCCGCATCACTGTTGGCTCATGTTCAGTTTGTGGTCTATAAAGACTCCTAGATGCTTTTCACCTGGACTGTTTTCAAGTCAGGGGTCACCCATCCTATATTTGTGCATTTCATTTTGTTCTGCCTTAATGTAGTTCTAGACATTTCTCCCTGTTGAAATCCATTTTGTTAATCCTGAACCATCTTTTAAATCTCTTACAATCACTTTGGAGCCTGATCCTCCCTTCTGGGGTATCTGCTCTCCCTCCCAATTTGATCCTATCTGGAAAGCCAAGAAGCATCTCTTCTATTTCATCATCTAAGTCACTGATGGAGACACTGCAAAGCCCTGGAAAGCCCAGGACAGGACCCTCTTTATGGTGCCCCACTGGTCCCTATTCTCCAGGAGAAAAAGAACCCATTTGATGATGGGTTCACAACAAGGTTAGTACACAGCAAACAAGATCACTATGCTGACTTTCATGTTCGATCACATTGGGCACTTCCCAAGAGTCTAGGACTGTGTGATATATCAGCGAATCATGCATGCAGATACTTTTGCAGCTGATAGATGGTAATTTTGTCAGGGCCAATTGTTTTTAAGTGCAGGCCAAGGTCTTTAGGCACTGCACCTAGTGTGCCGATCACCAATGGAACCCCCTTGACTGGCTTGTGCCAGAGTCTTTGCAGTTCTGTCTTTAAATCTTCATATCATGTAAGCATTTCCAGTTGATTCTCATCAATTCTGCTGTCACCTGGGATTGCAACATTGATGATCCATACTTTGTTTTTTTCCACGGCAGTGAGGTCAGGAGTCTTGTGCTCCAAAACACGCCAGTCTGAATTCATACGTCCCAGAATAGTTTGATGTGTTTATTGTTCAATGTGTTGTCGAAGGCTTTCATGGCCAGAATCAATGGGTTGTTGTGTGTTTTCTGGGCTGTATGGCCATATTCCAGAAGCATTCTCTCCTGACGTTTCACCTGCATCTAGGGCAGGCATCCTCAGAGGTTGAGAGGATTATTGTAAACTAGATGACGTCAGGAGAGAATGCTTCTGGAACATGGCCATACAGGCTGGAAAACTACCCAGTGTTTATTGTTGTTGTTGTAAATGTTATTATGATTGTTTTACTGACACAAGAACACAGTATGGCACAGCAAACGTGATATATATATGCTGGATTTCATATCACAAAATCACAAGTCGATCACTTCCCAAGCGTTTAGGACTGTGTGATGTATTTTCGAATGATGCATGCAGATGCAAGTAAGGTGGCCTTTTGCAGTTGACAGACTGTGATTTTGTCAATGTTTATGGTTTCCAAATGCCAGCTGAGATCTTTTGGCATGGCACCCAGTGTGCCGATGACCACTGGGACTACCTGTACTGGTTTATGCCAGAGCCTTTGCAGTTCGATTTTGAGGTCTTGATAGCAGCTGAGTTTTTCCTGTTGTTTATCCTCAATGCGGCTGTCACCTGGTATGGTGACATCAACAATCCAGACTTTTTTCTTTTCCACAATAGTGATGCCTGGTGTATTGTGTTCCAAAACTTTGTCAGTCTGGATTCGAAAGTCCCACAGTATTTTTGCATCTTCATTTTCCACGACCTTTGCGGGTTTATGATCTCACCAATTCTTTACTGCTGGCAGGTGGTTTAGGACTGACTGCGTTCCTTCATCTCCTTGAAAATTCTATCCCAGTTATATCCTACCTTGTTCATGTCCAGCATTATTTTTAATTTTAATCTATTACATTTCGCCCAGCCATTGGTTTTAAATGCTTTTGTGTTACTGTTGATTTATTGTTTATTTTTTGTTGTGATTTATATTAATTGTATTGCTTGATTGTTTTGTTATTGCTTTTATTTATTGATGTGCTGTGGGCTTGGCCTCATGTAAGCCGCACCGAGTCCCTTGGGGAGATGGTAGCGGGGTACAAATAAGGTATTATTATTATTATTATTACTTGTGACATAAATTCCAGTGAATCATTTGGGCCACAGAGTTGTGCCTCTGTTTGTAGTCTGTCTGTGCGATTTTGTTGTTGTTGTTATGTTATTATTGTGGTTGTTGTGTGTATTTATATCCTGCTTTTTCTCTCCGTATAGACTCAAAGCAGCCTTAAGAAGCACTCTTTACTGTAACATAGACCACGTTTTACTAGCTTCTCTGAAACTTCCTTCTCCTTTAGCCAGACACTGAAAGCATTTTCCAGTGGAGTCCTGGGAAACAACAAATGACGGGTCTCTCGGCCATGTCTATCAATTACAAAGATTCCATATTATTTTATATTTTAAGTATGAAACTTAGAAGACACAAAATATATCTCATCAATGAATAAATAAGTCCAGGAGGATAATTTTGGAGATCTTGGGAAGTACCATGTTTATTGCTGATGCCGCAGGAAATGCCCATACAGCCAGACTTTCTCCAGTGATTGACACATTCTCCTTATTTTGTTTGAGTTTTTAAACATATCATCTTCTGAAACCTCAACTGAAATAGAATTTAAATGGAAATGAAGCACAACTTCAAGGACGGCTCAGGCATGTGGATGTTTATTGTACTTTCCAGGCAAAATAAAACAATGCACAAGCAATAGACACATGCTCACTTATTGCACAGGGTCCCCTATGATACAGGAAAGCTTGAGCCACACCATCGACTCATTATCGGTTTTTACCCGTTTATTTTTCACAGCTGGCAGAAAGTGTCTTGAAAATGTAACTTGGGGGAGGAACTCAGAAAACGCTTGCAGATCTTTGGCTATCTCTTAACCCCCAAAGTTTCAGAAAAGGGAAAGTCTACTTCATCAGTCTAAAGTTGCATCATATAGGCCCGGAGAATCCTTCGTGATTCCGACTGCAATTGCTAAAACTATTTTGACGTGCGGACTCTGGGGGCATCTGCACTGTGGAATGAATGCAGTGTGACACCACTTTGTCATGGCTCAATGCTATGGAATCCTGGGATTTGTAGTTTGGTGAGGCTCCAGCCCTCTTTGGCAGAGAAGCCCTGTAAAACTACAACTCCCAGGATTCCAGCGCATTGAGCCGTGGGAGTCAAAGTGGTGTCAAATTGCATCCACTCTACAGCGTAGATGCATTCCTGTCAGTCTGTTTTCTACTTCAATAGGGAAATCTTTGGCGTAACTTACAGCAGCATTTCTCAACAAATCACTATCACTCCCATCATCCTCAGGCAATTCTGGTTCTGTCAGGGATGATGGGAGTTGTGGTCCAGCATGTTAGAAGGTCGCGACTTGCCAGGTTCAAGGAAGGGATTCCTATTGGATGCCCTGCCTTATTGTGGCTGAACAAAAGGGGAGGTTTTACATGCACATTCTGCATGCTTCTTTGTACAGTCCACAATGAGCAAATCTATTGCTTTCAGTACCTTGGTTTGAGATATCCAACTGCTTTCATAGGCGAATTGATGCATTTGAGACACCAAGAAGACTCCCTGCCTGGATATATGAGGGTTGAATTAAAAGCAACCTCGTATATCCAGCCAGGGAGGGTTGAATTAAAAGCAACCTGTAACTCCTCAACAGATGGCAGTACTGGTATGTGGCAGGTACTGGCTTGTTCAGTAGACTCTCATCTACAGTTCCATTTTGGTAGGAAGCCTTAGCATTGAACGGTTGTGTTGTTAAAGTGCAAAGTATGGAACCCTGTGCAGACTGGTCAATGCAACTTTATGCAAGTTAACAATCATCATATCACTCAAAGAGAAATTTCAAGCATAATCGGCATTTCACAAGAATGTGTGGGGTCGCATTATTGCTTTGCTTGGCTGTCGGAAGATCTGTGCACGATGGGCACCCAGGATGCTGACGCCTGAAATGAAAGCGCACAGACTTCTTCCGTGACAGCTTCAGAAAACGTGTTCATCGTTGACCAAAATGTATCCAATTGTCTGGTGATTATGTGGAAAAGTAAATAGTGGTAGTTAAAGAGCACATTCTAAGGATTATTTCTGCGTTTGATTTATCAAAATATTCCCATCCAAACCCAAGCAACGAGGGTGGAGGCATTACTTTTCATTCAACCCTCGTACACTGCCATATAAAATCCAGATTATCTGCTTTGAACCGGATTACTATATATTGCAGTGTGGACTCAGGCTGGATCTATACCACCCTATCTCCCAGGATCTGATCCCAGATTATCTTCTTATCACAGATTATCTGGCAGTGTAGACTCATATAATCCAGTTAAAAGCAGATAATCTGGGATCAGATACTGGGACATACGGCGAGGTAGATCTAACCTGAGTCACTGCCATATAATCCAGTTCAAAGCAGATAATCTGGATTTGATATGGCAGTCTAGATCCAGCCAAGGAGTCTTCTTGACGTCTTAAGTGCATCAATTTGCCTATGAAAGCAATTGGATATCTCAAACCAAGGCAACTGAAAGCAACAGATCTGCTCATTGCGGACTGTACACAGACGGATGCAGAATGTGTATTTAGAGGCACAGGAGGCCTCTCTATGGAATTTTTTAGGTCCTCCAGACACTGTGACCACAAGCTATACTTTCAAGGCCCCCAAAACAAATATATGTAATACATCAGGCATGGGCAAACGTCAGCCCTCCAGGTGTTTTGGACTCCAACTCCCACAATTCCTAGCAGCCTACCGGCTGCTAGGAATTGTGGGAGTTGGAGTCCAAAACACCTGGAGGGCCGACGTTTGCCCATGCCTGTAATACATCCACTCTGTTAAAAAAATACACTGCGGTGACCCATCATCCGCATCAAAATCCTTCTCTTCCTCGGAGGTGGCCTTTGAGTCTCCAAGGTTTTCAACCCAACAGAGCTCTGGGAAATCCTACAGAGACCCAAATGATGTTTACTGCAACTCCCAGCATTCCCTCCCCCTTGGCTCTGCTGGCAAGGACTGCTGGGAGTTGCAATATCATCATCATCATCATCATCATCATCATCATCAATATAATTCATTTTTGCCAATATGGGAAGGATTTGCGTTTCCCAATACGGACGACAACTTGTTTGCTTTCCTAAACGAATACACAACATATAATAATAATAATAATAATAATAATAATAATAATAATATAATTCTAGATATACTTTCATATATAGCCATCTGGGGGAAAAGGAAACCCCAAATAAACACATTCATGACGGTTCCAACCACTATTCGGTTGGGAACAAATAAAACTTTAAACCAAGATGAGGTCAGAAGACGGCAATTTCAAGCACTTTGATGTGGGACATGTTTCCATACTAAGCATAGCATTCTCTAAAAACAGCAGCCATGATGGAAATGGCACACAAGTCATTTGGTCAAAATCATACAAACTCAGCCATGTCATTGTTCTCTCCTCCTCAGAAGAATTCTGCCTCTTTACCACATACATTTCTAGTATTACGGAGAGTGAAGGTACATCTGCACTGTAGATTTAATGCGGTTTGACAACACTTGAATTGCCATTGCTCAAATTGTTTTTCTGTGTCGGGAATGACTTGAGAAACTGCAAGTTGCTTCTGGTGTGAGAGAATTGGCCGTCTGCAAGGATGTTGCCCAGGATGTTGCCCAGGGGGTGCCCGGATGTTTTACCCTCCTGTGGGAGGCCCCCTATGTCCCCTCATGAGAAGCTGGAGCTGACAGACAGGAGCTCACCCCGCTCCCTGGATTCGAACAGCGACCTTTCGGTCAACAATCCTGCCAGCACAAGGGTTTCAATGCTATGGAACAATAGGAGTTGCACTTTGATGAGTCTGTTTTGGCAGGGAACGCTAAAGACCTTATGAAACTGCAACTCTCATGATTCCATCGTGTTGAGCCATAGCAGTTGAAGGGATGTCAAACTGCATAAATCTGACAGTGCAGATGCACCCCTAGACATTGAAAATTGTTCCCAAGAACTCTGATATTTGCCTCTTTTCTTTGGACATCTAAACCGTATTTATGTAACACTCAGCTGAAGTTTGAAGTTACTGCAATGGAGTCTCAAGGAAAATATAATCTGAGGGCAGAGTTGTTGTTTAAAGGGCCATGTCCTCATTTTATCCCACTTCTCCATATAGCTGTATCCCTGGATTATGTGTGTGTGTGTGTGTGTGTGTGTGTGTGAGAGAGAGAGAGAGAGAGAGAGAGAGATACATCCTTCTCAGACATTTCACAATATTCAGCATTTTCTTCCACAAACAAAACAATCAACAGATGTTTTGAGTTCTTGGAAACTTTGAGACCTGTGCTTTGGACAATTTGTTTCCGATTACGGACCTCCTCTTCCGTGGTATCTAAATGTATGCCCTGTCTAGAGGCCAGACCAGTGGCAGGGAAACTGTAGATCCTTTTGAACTTCAAATCCCAGAACATGGCCATGGGTTTTGTGGGACTTGCAGTGCAAAGCACCCGGAACACCAAAGTCTCCTTTCCCCTGGAAAAAGCACAGAGGCTTCAACCTTTGCTAGTATTTGAGATCTTGACCTCCATGAGCACGCACTCTTAATCCCTGTCTCATTGCACACAACAGATTTAACATTCATCGACTGAAGCCATGCACCACAATGAAGCATGGAGCAATTGTGAGAGGTTGCGTCTACTTCTAAATAAGGATGCAAGTGATTGCACAAAATGAACTGGCATTGTGCTGAAATATCTTAGCAAGAACATCAAATAGCATATTTCACCGCATAATAGTCGCACTTTCCCCCCTTGTCCCAAAAAAGGGGGATGTGACTATTACATGAGGAAAAAAAATCTGTCTATATTCCATTTTTCGTTGCTGTTTTTTAAATAAAATGGAGAAGGAGAGATGACTCAATCTTTTGACAACATATTTCTCTTTGTTTGTTTGAAACTGCAGAGCCATTTGGGGCTGATTCTCCCTTCCTTTTTTCTTTGAAGGCAAGGCAGTTTAAAAACTATAAAATGAAGGTCTCTGAAGCTCCACTCTTCTCTTCTTTCTCCTTCCTTCCTTTCTTTGAGGTCTTAAGGCCTCTGGAACTGGTATCATCCCTTTTATTCCTCCATTCTCCAAAGAACACAATTCCAGGTTTTGTAAACTACCTTAAGGCCTTGGAAGGAGGAAGGCGGGAGGAGAGAAGAGTGGAGCTTCAGAGACTTCCATTTTGTAATTTTTAAACTGCCTTGCCTTCAGAGAAAGAAAGAAAAAAGATCTATCAGCCCAAAATGGGGTGCAACTATTATGTGAGGAAAACAAAAATACAATTTTTGCACCCAAAAATGGGAGTGTGACTATTATGCGGAGGTGACTATTCTGCGATGAAATACTATATTATTTCAAAAGGACAGAAGCAAACCTTCCAGGCAGTGGTGGCTGAGTGGCTTCCATGATGTGGGAAATCCACTCTGGAAAAGCTGAATGGGTTGGCCAACTCAGTTCAAAGTGCTGAATGGGTTGGTCAACACAGTTCAGCACCTAGGATAGTTCTTCTAAAGTGCAAAATGAAACCTGAACTCTATGGCATCTTGGATAATTCTTTCGAAACCTGTGGCCAAAACTGGTTCTGGATGCCGAAGAGCTCTTTTCAACCAGAGGATGGATTCACTAACATGGAAGCCACCAGCCACCACTGCTCCCAACCTAAACTTGCAGGTATATATAGGATTCTGTCACTCCCTTCCATGAATGACCAGGTTAAGGACTACCCAATGACTCTATAGGTATGGAGGGCAAGAAGGTCCTTCACAGCTCGGCCTGGACAGGGTTCTTGGGGCAGGGCATGCCTTGCTGGACACACCGGATGAGTTCTTTGCGGTTGTCCAGGATGGTGTCGAAGCTCTCCTGCAGCCGATTCTGCTGGTCGACCACCTTTTGCTGGAGACTGCGGATCCAACGCAGCAGCGCCAGGCGGCGATACATCACCAGGTGGACGCGGTGCTTCTGCTTCTCCTGCTCCTTGAACTTCTTCTTCTCCTGAAGGCTTTGGAAGGCCTCCGCCAGCGCCGGGAAGAGGGCCTCGGAGCTCGGAGACAAGTCCTCAGCCTCACTCTCCTTCCAGTCCTCAGCAGCAACAGAGGGTGTCTCCCAAGGGCCGGCGCCTCCGCTGTCGGGGCTGTCGATGCTCAGGGAACTGCTGGCGTAACCATTGTCTTCCAAGGGGGAGCTGGCCATCTTCCGGCTTCCTTTGACTCTCTCTTTGGCAGTAGCTTTCTCTTGCTCCGGACTGGAGACCTCTGCTCCTTCTGGAGGCCTACGTATGTCCTCCTCTTCTTCTTCGTCATCATCATCTTCTTCCTCCTCTTCTTCAGAGGCAAGGAACATGCTCTCCTGTCTCACCTCCTGATGGACATTCCTAGGAGCACAGTTTGCTTCCTGCTTGCGCATCAGTGCTATTTGATTATCGGATGCGACTGGAGCACTGCCCCCAAGCTGCCCTGCTTCCATGTGCTCCAGACTCTCTGATGTGGGTTGGTTCCAGTTCTCATTGCTGTCGTAGGGCTCCTCGCCCATGAAATTGAGGTTCCCGTCCCGCCCTCCCAGGTAGGCCGCATCCAACTGCGAGTTCCCCTTCGCTTCGCTGAAGAGCGCATTGAGGGGCATCTCCGGCTGGCACATGGCAAACATCTATGTGCCCTCCCAGCTGAAGAAAAGAGGAAGAGAAAGGAATTAAATGGATTAAAACATTTACGTCCCACCCTCTGTCTAAAGATCCCATGATTGGCAACCAGAACCACTTCAGAAACATATTTTAGCAATTCAACAAGTTGTTTTAAAAGGTTAAAGTTGGGAAAAATAGTTTAAAGTAGGTGAAAACCTACTTTAAACCCACATGTGTAGGTTTGGTTAAAACCAATTATCAAACAGCCATGTTTTCACCTGCAGATAAAATTGTTATTATTATTATTATTATTATTATTATTATTATTATTATTGTTGTTGTTATTGTGGGAATTGCAGAGAGATTGGTTTGTGCCTCTTGGTAGATAACTTTGGTTTTTTCTATTATTACTTTAATTACCATCACCATTATCATCATAACAATGATACCTGCCTCTCCCTATGGCTCGAGTTGGGATTTTTGTGTGTGTGTGTGTCAGAAACAACTTATTTTATTAATATTTATTTATTTCGAGGTTTTATATACCGACCCTCTCACCTTCAAAGAGGGATTTGGACCGGTTCACAACATGTGTTAACATACAAAGAATATACAATAACAACACAATGCCACATCATTACACGATTAAAATATCAGCACCATACACATTAAAACATTATCATCACAGTTAAAAGAGCCAAATCGTCCAACACCATCACAATCCCATTCATCATCCTCCTTTCATGTGGGCAAAGAATTAAATCAGTTGTCAAATGCCGCATTCCACAACCAGGTCTTTGTTAGTTTCCTGAACGTCATGAGGGAGGGGGCAGTTCTGATCTTGAGAAACTTGAGAAACTGCAAGTCGCTTCATGTGTGAGAGAATTAGCTATCTGCAAGGACGTTGCCCAGGGGACGCCTGGATGTTTTACCATCCTGTGGGAGGCTCTCTCATGTTTGTTCATGAGAACCTGGAGCTGACAGACGGGAGCTCACCCCGCTCCCCGGATTCAAACAGCCAACCTTTCGGTCAACAGTCCTGCTAGCACAAGGGTTTAACCCATGTTTTAATGTTTTAGCATCCTTATGGGAGGCTTCTCTCATGTCCCCACATGGGGAGCATAAGCTGACAGAGGGAGCTCATCCGTGCCCTCCCTAGATTTGAACCTCCAGCCTATCGGTCTTCAGTCCTTCCGACACAAGGGTTTAACCCACTGCACCACCAGTGGCTCCTTTGAGTTGGGATACAACATGGTTACTATAGATAGATCAATACAACACCATAAAAAAATCAAAATACAGTAGCATCTCGCTTATCCAACATAAATGGGCCAGCAGAACATTGGATAAGTGAATATGTTGGATAATAAGGAGGGTTTAAATAAAAGCCTCTTAAACGTCAAATTATGTTATAATTTTACAAATTAAGCACCAAAACATCATATTTTCCAACAAATCGACAGAAAAAGCAGTCCAATACATGGTAACAATATGTAGTAATTACTGTATTTACGAATTTAGCACCAAAACAACGCAATGTATTGAAACAGCTGTGGATCCGGTCGAGAGGCAGACTGTGTTGGATAATACAGAACGTTGGATGAGCGAAGGTTGGATAAGTGAGACTCTACTGTAAACGCAACAAAGACCAACACTGAAATGTTGGCAACATTGGTGCAGATTGCACACATCTGGAACTGTGAAATTAGAAATACTCCAAAATCCTTCAAACGAGCTGCTGAGACAGTGATGTCTTAACTTTCTGATAGTTCAATTTTCTCAGACTTTATTTCATGGCAAAATGATTAAAAATAGTGTGCACAAAGTACTTTCTAGGCTATGTGCATAACAAAATATAATGCGTATTTAATATTAATGCAAACTATAAAGCTGCCTTGGGTTCCATATTGGGGAAAGGTAAAAGTTTCCCCTGACTCTGGGGGGTAGTGCTCATCTCCATTTCTAAGCCAAAGAGCTGGCGTTGTCAGTAGACACCTCCAAGGTCATGTGGACAGCATGACTGCATGGAGCACCATTATCTTCCCACAGAAGCAGTACCTATTGATCTACTCACATTTACATGTTTTCGAACTGTCAGGTTGGCAGAAACCGGAGCTAAAAGTGGGAACTCACCCCGCTCCCCAGATTCGAACAGCTGACCTTTTGGTCAGCATGTTCAGCAGCTCAGCGGTTTAACCCGCTGCGCTACCAGGGGGAAAAGCTAGGCTAAAATAATGAAATAAATGTAATATGAGGATATTCTTTCCAGAATCCTCAGTGAGGTGAAGGAGTATGGGACATTGCGGTCTTATTCAAAAGCAACATTCCCAAACTTTGCCAATCTCCAATTGATTGTTGTTTGACAATATTTGAGAAACGTCAGATATTCAGTGCAGTCATTGGAGATTTCTGATTTTTATTCCTATTGTGGCATGTCACCTGATAACAGAAATCACATTTTTGCAAGCTGCCTCCCTCCCTTTGACTGGTATCAGATGGGCTCAGCAACAGCGACAGCTCTTTCTCCTTCGAAATCAGGAAATAGCTTGTCTGGTTTCCAAGCCAACACACACACAAAACAATCACAGGTTTCATGCAAAACCTCCCAGATCCTTGGCTGTTAAATGGTGGCTTTATATAGCCAAGAGTGCGGAAGTTCCTTTTTTAAAGGCCATTCGTTGAATCCTTGGCCCATGAAGCTGGCACCTGGAGGCCCTTCCTTATATGTAAATTTCCACAAGACACCTATATATCAATCAGGATGAGATATTTGTGAAGGGTGAGTTCCCGCTGTTAGCTCTAGCTTCTGCCAACCTAGCAGTTCAGAAACATGTAAATATGAGTGGATCAATAGGTAATGTATTGTCGAAGGCTTTCATGGCCGGAATCACTGGGTTGTTGTAGGTTTTTCCGGGCTATATGGCCATGTTCTAGAGGCATTTTCTCCTGATGTTTCGCCTGCATCTATGGCAAGCATCCTCAGAGGTAGTGAGGTAATGCTTCTGCGGGAAGGTAATAGTGCTTCATGCAGTCATGCTGGCCACATGACCTTGGAGGTGTCTACTGACAACGCCAGCTCTATGGCTTAGAAATGGAGATGAGCACCACCCCCCAAGTCAGGGGAAACTTTTACCTTTCCCCGATATGGAACCCAAGGACAATAATCCCTGACCTTGACCAAACCTTGCATAAAATGCCCTCGGAAGCATTTATCCCAGTGGTTCTCAACCTTCCTAATGCCGCGACCCCTTAGTACAGGTCCTCATGTTGTGGTGACCCCCAACCATAACGTTCTTTTCATTGCTACTTCATAACTGTAATTTTGATACTGTTATGAATTGTAATGTAAATATCTGATATGCAGGAAGTATTTTCATTCACTGGACCAAATTTGGCACAAATACCCAATACACCCAAATCTGAATACTGGTGGGGTTGGGGGTGATTGATTTTGTCATTTGGTAATGCTGGAGTTGCTGGGATTTATAGTTCACCTTAAATCAAAGAGCCTTCTGAACTCCACCAATGATGGAATTGAATCAAACATGGCACACAGAATTCCCATGATCAAGAGAAAATATTGGGAAGGTCTGGTGGACATTGACCTTGAGTTTTTGGAGTTGTAGTTCACCTATATCCAGACTGTGGACTCAAGCAATGATGGATCTGGATCAAACTTGGCACAAATACTCAATATGCCCAAAAGTGAACACTGGTAGAGTTTGGAGAAAATAGGCCTTGCCATTTGGGAGTTGTAATTGTTGGGATTTATAGTTCACCCACAATAAAATAGCATTCTGAACCCCACCAATAGAATTGGACCAAACTTTCCACACAGAACCCCCATGACCAACAGAAAATACTATGTTTTCTGATGGTCTTTGGCGACCCCTCTGACACCCCCTCGAGACCCCCCCAGGGGTCCCGACTCCAGTGTGCCTTCGATGAATGAACTATAATCCCTGACCTTGGCCAAACCCTGCATAAATGCCCTCAGAAGCACTGTATCCCATCTTCTAGTGCAATTAAACCTCATTTTTGTCCCTCTGATCCTCTGTCTAGATACATTACAGGGCCTGCTCACCCAGTGTTTTTAAACTTTTAATCTTTGCAACTTGCGCTGCCCACTGCACACTGTGATTTGTGTGTGTGTGTGTGTGATTCAATTACTGTGATCTTATATTGTTTGGTGTGTGCATTTGTATAGTTTTCTGTATTTTTTTATTTTCAGTATATTTTGCCGTTTGTATTTTATGTTGTATATTTGCTCTGTTGTACTGTTGGGCTTGGCCTCATGTAAGCCACCCCGAGTCCCCTTGGGGAGATGGTGGTGGGGTATAAATAAAGTTATTATTATTATTATTATTATTATTATTATTATTATATTTGCAAATGAGATGCATAATGATATGGCAATGTGCAAGAATTACTGATGTCCCATTCTAAATTTTCAGCCTTCCGTAAAGACTTCCCATACTTTAGAATTCCCGAAGGGTCAGAAATTGTTTCCCCTATTTCTGCAGGCTTTTAGGAACTGACGCCAAGGAGCACTTGTTTTGGTGATGTGTGCTTTCAAAAATTATTTTCATTACTACTTCATAACTGTCATTTTCTGGCTGTTATGAGTAGTAATGCAAATAAGGTTTTGCATTTTATGTAATTTATTTTTTGATTATCTGTTGTGTTTTTTGTGTTTATATTGTGTTTACTGTATTGATGGATGTGGCCTTATGTAAGCCGCTCCGAGTCCTCTTGGGGGGATGGAGGCGGGATATAAATAAAGATTATTAATAATATTAATAATAATATCTGATATGCAGGATGTATTTTCATACACTGGACCAAATTTGGCACAAATACCCAATACACCCAAATTTGAATACTGGTGGGATTGGGGGAGGGTACTGATTTTGTCCTGTGGGAGTTGTAATTGCTGGGATTTATAGTTCACCTACAATAAAAGAACATTCACTAACGATGGAATTGAATCAAACTTGGCACACAGAACTCTCATGACCAACAGAAAATACTGAAAGGGTTTGGTGGGCATTAACCTTGAGTTTTGGGAGTTGTAGTTCACCTACATCCAGAGAGCATTGTGGACTCAAACAATGATGGATCTGGACCAAACTTGACATGCGTTCTCAGTATGCCCAAATGTGGTGTTTGGGGGAAATAGACCTTGACATTTGGGAGTTGTAGTTGCTGGGATTTATAGTTCATCTACAAACAAAGAGCATTCTGGACCCTACCAACAATTGAATTGGGCCAAACTTCCCACACAGAACCTCCATGACCAACAGAAAATACTGTGTTTTCTGGTGCTCTTTGGTGACCCCTCTGACACCCCCTCGTGACCCCTCCAGGGGTCCCGACTCCCAGGTTGAGAAACACTGATCTATATAAATAAAAATGTAGTGTTCGTTTGTGGGATTATCAGAACTCAAAAACGACTGGACGAATTGACACCAAATTTGGACACAAGACACAAGACATTGAATTTTGGGAGTTATAGTTCACCCACATTTGTGGGGGGGGGGACTGACCTACCCTCATGAGGGTTGTACTTCACCCTGCATCCAGAGCATTCTGAAACCCACCAATGGCAAACCTGGACAAAACATGGCACACAAACCCAACATGCCCAACTGTGAATACAGGTAGGGTTTGGGGATGGTTGCCCTGGAAATCCGGGAGTTGTAGTTCACCTTCATCCAGAGAGCACTGAACTCAGCCAACGTCAGATCTGGACCAAACTTGGCACATAGATGCATCATGGCCAACTGTGAATACAGTCCTGGTTTGGGGAGGATTGACCAACAGTTTGGGGAATTGTAGTTCACCCACATCCTTATGCATTTTCTAATGGGTGCATTCATAAAAAACCAAATCAGAAACTGGCTTTCCCCCCTAATAAACAGTATTACTAATTAACTTAATGATATTACCTAACACCCCAAAACAAACAATGCCTTTCTCAAATAACCTGGGCACCACCCAAGCTAGTCTTAAAGAAATAAAGAAACAGACAGTATTTATACACTCTTTGAATTGATTAGTTTTATTCTATTATTATTATTCTTAACTCTGTTTATATTGAGTAAGTAAAGAAATAGAAACATTATTTATACACTCCTTGAACTGATTCGTATTATTTGAATATTATTATTATTATCTTTATTTACATTGAATAAAGAAATAGAAACATTATGTATACACTCCTTGAAATTATTATTATTATTATTATTATTATTATTATTATCTTTATTTACATTGAATAAAGAAATAGAAACATTATTTATACACTCCTTGAATTGATTATTATTATTATATTTATTTACATTGAATAAATAAATAGAAACATTATGTATATTTCTTTGTTAATATACTCCTTGAATTGACATTATTATTATTACTTTATTTATTTATATTGGAATCTTTCCTTTTGCCTTAAATCAGTGGTTCTCAACCTGGGGGTTGGGACCCCTGAAGGGGTCGCGAGGGGGTGTCAGAGGGGTCAAAGACCATCAGAAAACATAATATTTTCTCTTGATCATGGGGGTTCTGTGTGGGAAGTGTGGCTAAATTCTATCATTGGTGGGTTCAGAATATTATTTGATTGTAAGTGAACTATAAATCCCAGCAACTATAATTCCCTCATGTCAAGGTCTATTTACCCCGAACTTCACCAGTGTTCACATTTCGGCATATTGAATATTTGTGCCAAGTTTGATCCAGATCCATCATTGTTTGATTCCACAGTTCTCTCTGGATGTATGCGAACTACAACTCTAAAACCCAAGGTCAATGCCCACCAAACCCTTCCAGTATTTTCTGCTGGTCATGGGAGTTCTGTGTGGGAAGTTAGGCCTAATTCTATCGTTGGTGGGTTCAGAATGCTCTTTGGTAGTAGGTGAACTATAAATCCCAGCAACTACAACTCCCCAATGTCAAGGTCTATTTACCCCGAACTTCACCAGTGTTCACATTTGGGCATATTGAATATTTGTGCCAAGTTTGATCCAGATCCATCATTGTTTGACTCCACAGTTCTCTCTGGATGTAGGCGAACTACAACTCTAAAACCCAAGGTCAATGCCCACCAAACCCTTCCAGTATTTTCTGTTGGTCATGGGAGTTCTGTGTGCCAAATTTGGTTCAAGTCCATTGTTGGTGTAGTTCAGAAGGCTCTTTGATTGTAGGTGAACTAGAAATCCCAGTAACTGCAACTCCCAAATGACAAAATCAACCCACCCCCAAACCCACCGGTCGCCAAAGACCATCAGAGAGTATTTTCTGCTGGTCATGGGAGTTCTGTGTGGGAAGTTAGGCCTAATTCTATCATTGTTGGGGTTCAGAACGCTCCTTGATTGTAGGTGAACTATAAATCCAGCAACTAACTCCCAAATGTCAAAGGTCTATTTTCCCCAAACTTCACCAGTGTACATATTTGGGCATATTATTTTTGCCAAGTTTGGTACAGACCCATCATGGTTTGAGCCCACAGTGCTCTCTGGATGTAGCTGAACTACAACTCCCAAACTGGTCAACGCCCACTGAACCCCATCCTCTCATTCTCCCACCAATCCTCCCATCCCAACCCCACCAGTATTCAAATTTGGGTGTATTGGGTATTTGTGCCAAATTTGGTCCAGTGAATGAGAATACATCCTGCATATCAGATATTTACATAACGATTCATAACAGGAGCAAAATTACAATTATGGAGTAGGAATGAAAATAATTTAATGGCTGGGGGTCACCACAACATGAGGAACTGGATTAAGGGGTTGCAGGATTAGGAACGTTGAGAACCACTGCCTTAAATAGATACCTTGGTTAGTAGCAGCAGGCACTGAAGAATGGCGCAAGCAGAAAACAGAGCCCTTTCCTCCCCATCCATCCAGCAGGGAACCCTCCAGGTGTTGCCGAACTCCAACTCCCAGCATGCAACGCCGCTCATGAGCCTGGCGATGGCTGCTGGGAGTTGGAGTCCTGGAGGAAGAGGAGAAGGGGGAAAGGGACTGCAAGCGGGCTGAGTGGCGCAGGAAAGGAGAAGGCAAATCCCCAGCTAAATGGAAGGGATCAGGAAGGAGCCCCATTGCCACGGACACCCCCATTTGACCCACACACCCGCTTTCCCCCCCTTTCTTCTGCTATGGGGCTCCTCTCACTAACACTCACTCACCGCTGGGCGATCCGTGGGGCGCGGAAAGCGAGGGCTGTGCTAAGGATCAGCGTCACGCGCGGCGCGGATTCAGAGGCTAGAAGATGGGGGGGAGGAGCGCGCATGCGCGGAATTCCAACAGCGACGTCACCAGACAACCATGCAATATATTGATGGATTTTTAAATATATATATATAGATTTTCAATAATACTTTTAATTGGTTATATATGATTTATGTTATTTCTATAATACTTTTGTTCATTATTGCTATCTATTATGTTATTTCTATAACACTTTTGTTCATTATTGTTAGATATTATATTATTTCTATAATATTTTTATTCATTATTGTTATCTGTTGTGTACAAAAGCTGCACATCGCAAGTGCTGAACCTGACTCAGCACATAGAAGATGGCTTTGAAAGGCAGCAGATCACAGGAGCTGTCTTCATAGACCTGTCAGCAGCCTATGATACTGTGAACCACCGCTCCTCCTGAGAAAAATGTATAATATCACAAAGGACTACCACCTCACCCGCCTCATAGGAAACCTGATACAAAACAGGAGCTTTTTTGTTGAGTTCCAGGGCCAGAGAAGCAGATGGCGGAAACAGAAGAACGGCCTGCCTCAGGGGAGCGTGCTTGCTCCATCCATGTTCAACATCTACACAAATGACCAGCCACTGCCAGAAGGGACAGAGACTTTCATCTATGCTGATGATCGTGCCATTACTGCTCAAGCAGGGAGCTTTGAGATGGTAGAACAGAAGCTTTCCAAAGCTCTAGGTGCTCTTACTGCCTATTACAGGGAAAACCAGCTGATCCCCAACCCATCTAAAACACAGTCATGTGCCTTTCATCTCAAGAACAGAGAAGCATCCCGAGCTCTGAAGATCACCTGGGAAGGAATCCCACTGGAGCATTGCAGCGCACCCAAATACCTGGGAGTCACTCTGGATGTGCTCTTACCTACAAGAAGCACTGCCTGAACATCAAGCAAAAAGTGGGTGCTAGAAACAATATCATACGAAAGCTGACTGGCACAACCTGGGGATCACAACCAGACACAGTGAAGACATCTGCCCTTGCGCTATGCTACTCTGATGCTGAGTATGCATGCCCAGTGTGGAACACATCTCACCACGCTAAAACAGTGGATGTGGCTCTTAATGAGACATGCTGCATAACAGAAGCATACGAGAAGCTCGGCCTGTCACTGAACATTGAAAAAACCAAGGTGCTTTTCCAGCAGACACCAGCCAACCCCTCTCCAATTCCAGTGATACAGCTTAATGGTGTAACATTAGAAAATGTTGAACATTTCCGCTACCTTGGCAGCCACCTCTCCACCAAAGTCAACATCGACACCGAAATACAACACCGCCTGAGCTCTGCAAGTGCAGCATTTTCCCGAATGAAGCAGAGAGTGTTTGAGGACCGGGACATCCGTAGGGATACCAAGGTGCTTGTCTATAAAGCTATTGTCCTCCCAACCCTGCTATATGCCTGCGAAACGTGGACTGTCTACAGACGTCACATGCAACTCCTGGAACGATTCCATCAGCGCTGCCTCCGGAAAATCCTGCAAATGTCTTGGGAAGACAGGCGGACAAACGTCAGCGTGCTGGAAGAAGCAAAGACCACCAGCATTGAAGCGATGGTCCTCCGCCATCAACTCCGCTGGACCAGCCACGTTGTCCGGATGCCCGACCACCATCTCCCAAAGCAGTTGCTCTACTCCGAACTCAAGAACGGAAAAATGGAATGTTGGAGGACAGGAAAAGAGATTTAAAGATGGCCTCAAAGCCAACCTTAAAAACTCTGGCATAGACACTGTGGAGTATCCATTGGCCTGTAGAGCCCAGTTGAGGTGGTTTAGTTCATCTTGGAGGAGGTGGGGTTCGCAGATCCTTTTTGCACGGTCTGCCAAGGCTTTAATGGTGCTTCTTTCTTGACTTGGTTTCTTTTATTATGTTATTTCTATAATACTTTGATTGATTATTGCTTTCTTTTATTATGTTATTTCTATAATATTTTGATTGATTACTGTTATTTACTGGTATTTATTAGTATTACTGTATGTTATTTTATAATACTTTTATTGATTATTTTATTACCTGTATTATTACCTTGCTGCTGAATACGCATGCCCACTGTGGACTACATCTCGCCATGTTAAAACAGTGGATGTGGCTCTTAATGAGTAATAATAGATAACAATAATAGATAGCATGCTACATTATCACAGGATGTCTGCACCCAACACCACTGGAGAAATTATACTGTCTAGCCTAGGCATGGGCAAACTTAGGCCCTCCAGGTATTTTGGACTAACATTTAACATAATTTAAAAGATCTCTGAATGCACTCTAACACAGTTATGGTCCCTTGAACAAGGCAGTAACACCTTGATCCGGAAAGCCCAATCCAGAAAAGCCTGGGATCCAATAGCAGGCTTTCTCATCCTTAAATACACCACATTGGTCCTTTTCGGAGCTGCCAAAATATCCTCTTCTTCCTTATTGTAATTTTGCTCTGAGGATGGATACCAGGAGTCCTGGAAGCCCAAGGCAGGCGGAGATGCTCCTCGATGCCGATAACGGAGGGCCATGGCCCATGCCTCCCGCTCCACCTGCTTTTCATCTGTGCTGTTTTTCCATCCACCAGTCCGGCCACTGCCTTTGAACGAAATTGTTCCCAGCAGAGGCCTAGAGACCTTGCTTTGCCAACTGGTGACGTCGGCATGTGTCACCGGAGCCTGTTGCTCTAACCTTTTTCCACCAGGAAGGATGGATAATTGGGGCCTAACCAAAGCCGCATGTGAGGGCCGCTTTGAAGGGGGATCTCGCCCGGCAGAAGACACAAAGTCCCACCAAATCAGAGCAGAGGAATTTATGCTAAACCCGCCATGTGTTATTACAGTAGGTCCCCCTTATCTGTGGATTTAATAGCCACAATTTCATTTATCCACTCTCCAAAAAATGCTCCCCGGGAAGTGACTGTGGGTCTTTCTAGGTCCTCCTGTGTAATTCCATGATATGCTTCTGGTTGTCCACATTTGTGAGTCCCACTTTGATTTGATTTCGCTATGTAACAAAATTTGAAAACAAAAACTGTTCCTGATTTGAAAGTGTTATTTCGTGTTTAATTGTGAGGTACTTACTTTGAAAGTAGTTGTTCTGCTCCAGAAACTTTGTTTTTGTGGCTGTCACAAACTATGTTGAATAATAATAATAAAACTTTATTTATACCCCGCTACCATCTCCCCCGGTGGCGCAGTGGGTTAAAGCACTGAGCTGCTGAGCTTGTTGATCGAAAGGTCGCAGGTTCGATTCCGGGGAGCGGCGTGAGCTTCCGCTGTCAGCCCTAGCTTCTGCCAACCTAGCAGTTCGAAACCATGCAAATGTGAGTAGATCAATAGGTACCGCTCCGGCGGGAAGGTAACGGCGCTCCATGCAGTCATGCCGGCCACATGACCTTGGAGGTGTCTACGGACAATGCTGGCTCTTCGGCTTAGAAATGGAGTTGAGCACCACACCCCAGAGTCAGACATGACTGGACTTAATGTCAGGGGACTACCTTTACCTTACCTACCATCTCCCCAAGGGACTCGGTGCGGCTTACATGAGGCCAAGCCCGCAATGCAACAATAAACAAAGGCAATAACAAAAGCAATCAATACAATACAATTAATATAAATCACATAAACACAAAATAATAAGCAATCAACGGTGACACACAAGCATTTAAAAACCAATGGCCGGTCCAAATGTAATAGATTAAAATGTAAAAAATAATACTGGACATGAACAAGGTAGAATATAACTGGGATAGGATTTTCAAAGAGAAATGAGGGAACACAGTCAGTCCTAAATCAGTGGTAAAGTGCATTTTGAGGGCATATTGCTGAGAGTTTTCCTTATTCTGGGAAGGCACACTGGAACAACCACGTTTTCAGGCTCCTCCTAAAGACTGCCAGAGTTGGGGCATGTCTGATGTCCTTGGGAAGTGAGTTCCAGAGTCGGGGGGCCACCACCGAGAAGGCCCTCTCCCTCGTCCCCACCAATCACGCCTGCGAAGGAGGTGGGAGCGCGAGCAGGGCCTCACCAGATGATCGAAGAGATCGTGCGGGTTCATACACAATAGGTTGAGACGATGAGATATTCCTTGGAAAACTATAGCAAAATGTGCTGCGGGATGTCCCACAAAAACTAAGCTTTTGCAGTTTAATAAACTTTTCCCCTTGACATTAAGGGTGGTGTTCATCTCCATTTCTAAGAGCTGGTGTTGTCCGTAGACACCTCTCTAGGTCATGTGGCTGGCATGACTGCATGGAGCACTGCTACTTTCACGCCAAAATGGTATTTATTTATTTATTTACTGTATTTGTATACTGCCCTTCTCAGCCCTCAGGCGACTCACCTATTGATCTACTCACATTTGCATATTTTCGAACTTCTAGGTTGGCAGAAGCTGGGGCTAATGATGGGAGCTCGCCCTGTCCACAGATTTGAACCACTGACTTTCTGATCAGCAAGTTCTGCAGCTTAGCGGTTTAACCCGCTGCACCACTGCAGCCCAGTTTATAATATAACCAAAGAGGAAATGACCCAGGAACAATTTTTTTTGTTACATCGTGTTATTTATGAGTATGTGTAGATCCTTCAGGGTGAATCTGTGGTCACCTTCTGTCAGACATTGACCATAATGTAAATTCTGGAAGAACTTGTAGGAATCTTGTAGGTTTTTTAGTAGTTTTTAAAATTTATGGTGATTTTTTTAAAAAAATGTGATGTTTCCACTTTTCAGTGATTCTGCAGCCTTAAGCCCCATAAAAAGCAGAGAGGCTACTGTATAGTCAAAATATAGGCTTCACCGTTATTCATGGTTTTGGGCATCCACTTGGTTGGGCGTCTTGGAATGTATCCCTGGTGAATACAAGGGGCATACTGTATTGTGCTGTTCCAGCAGTCACCAGCCATCCCCTCCCAATGCCAGCGATACAGCTTAATGGTGTAGCATTGGAAAATGTTGACCATTTCCGCTACCTTGGCAGCCACCTCACCAACAAAGTCAACATCGACACCGAAATACAACACCGCCTGAGCT